ACTGCGGGGAACTCTGCAAAAAACGCATCTTCGCACGGGCAGCCCGTGCGTTGGCCAATTATTTGAAGTTGTTATTAGTAACTGCATTGTTTTGTGTTTTAAATAATTGTTGTAACTGTACTGTTTTATAGTTTTTTGTTTAAAATTACTAGCTGTATTGTTCAAAGATGTAGTATTTTAAATTAGTTTTGCAGTTCTGTATTTTAAATTATCATCAACTGTATTTTTTGTTTTGTGAATTATTGTTGGCCGCGTTGTTTTCCAGTATTGTGTTTTAAATTATTTGTTTTTTTTATTAATTGTACTGATTTTTCGTATTAATAAACTTTAAGGAAATGTAAGACAGGGCAGAGCGCAGATCAAAGGAACACTAATACATATTGGTTGGAGAATTACCAACATGGGTATACGTACAGTATTTGATGTAGTACGGTCACCACATCATATTGACCTGTTACGCACGCGATGCGGTCACCGTGACTGCATTAGGACATGACGAATAGGATCGCTGGAACCCCTTTACTTCCTCATCGTTTGCATCTCTTTTGTCGTCGTGAAGCTTTTTTTTTTCGGGCTCTGATCCATGATTTGGTAATCCTCTTCCAACTTCCTTTAAATTTGCCCTTTTTCAATGGGCAAACAAGCATTCACCAGAATAACGACCGGGTTCAGGCACTTTGCAAAGCAGTAATTTGCCCCGAAGTGTTCTCGTTCATGCACATATGCATTTTGGGTATGTGCGTGTGCGTGTGTGTGTATGTGTGCACGTGTTTGTGAAGCATTAACACGTTGTCCGGGACATCGCTACTGGTGGACAACATAATGACGTTAAAGGCAGACACGGAGTAGAAGTGTTTCCATGATAGACCATACAGAGTAATCCCAAATGCAGGAAGCTAAGTGACAGTTGGAGGTTTTTATGCGTTTCTGCTGTGCAGTGCTGTAGTGCTGCTGCAGTGAGCAGAAATGATGCATGCTGTCTAGAGGTCGTCCATGCATGTTTACATGTCGGGACGGTCAAGGCTTGACCGAGTGCATTGTTCACTCTTTCGATTGTCGAGATGGATTTGAACTCCTGCTCTCAGTAATTCACAACGGCATTGAGCGGTATCTTAGGATCGATTGACCCACAAACATTCAACTGCTGTTCACGTGGAACCTTTCTCCACTTCAGTCTCTTCAAGGATTTCACTTGAATATTTGCTACTACCACCCAGATCTGCACCAGTGGAAGCTTCTTTGAACGTAGCAGTTGGTCAGACTTTAGTCGTTTCGAGAAGTTTTTGGACGTGTTTCTCCCGAACAACTTTCTTCCCTGGATATGGGCGTACCTGGGAGAAATAAGTCTTTACCCCACTCGTTCCCCTTCTAGCGGCACAGGCGCCAGTGCTACAAAAGTTCGGGTTTAAAGCTAAAACTGAAAAAAAAACCCTCTTCCGCAGCGCAGTCGCCGCCCTGCCAAGGCATACTCATTTTAGCTATCGTAACTCATTTTCGGTTTTTTGGTCAACTTACTACTACTGTTGCTGCTGATCCTGGCATTCGTTTCCATGTCTTTGTCGCTTTTGAGCCCTTGCTAGTTGCCCGGTATGCTGCTTCAGTGAATCTCTGAATATCGTTTGGTGCACATCCGCAAGGACAAGATCGCGAACCGTGCCGATGTTTGCTGGGATTGCCGGGAGTCGGGCGCATTCAAGGCGGGTGGCTCTAATTTGCATTTTACATTTTCTAAGTTTTTATTTCAGATGATTATTAAAAGGTATTAGTAGTGCAGGGAAAAGTATGCCAAATGATAATAATATTCCGAGCACTGTTGCCGGCTACAATATATGTGAAAGGTGAGCAATTCTCCCGTGTTTTTTTTTTTTTTTTTTCTCTCTTTTTCATGAAAGATTTTTTTTTCCATGGTTCCTCCTGTTTGTTGCAGGATCGGGAGTGGATCGTTTTCGAGTGTGTTCAAAGCAGTCTCCACATCACCGGGCCCAAATGGCGTACGCACCACCGTGGCAATCAAAGTGATGGATATGCTGGCTGCAAATGCATCGAAGCTCACATCCGATTGTGTTGTTTCGGAAATACGCATACTGAAGAGCTTAAAACATAGGTTTCTTTTTTTTTTTTTGTCTTCTTCCATCTCCGTTTGTACTGTTTTTGTATTTTTGGGTTTTTCCGCTTTTTCACTGTATCGGCATATCGAAATTAAATACGAAAATTTCATAGATTTCGTAAACAAAACTTTTCAATGACCCTAACAATCCGAATTTCTGTTAATTGCACAGCTACTGGATATAGTTTGAGCCTTTTACTTCACGTTCTGCATATTGTTTGATTAGTTATATCTGGCCATAGCCAAAAAAATGCTTTATGATAGACGACATAAATCTTAACTTGTAAAAACACTTTAACGAAAAGAAGTTCGAAATCGAGATGATTTGCTGAAATTTTTTATTACTTAAAGGAGATAACTTGTCAGTGAATTGTCAAAAGTCGAAATTCTTTCCTTACCTTACTGTCTTTGAGAAGTGGAGTCCCGTGGAGAGGGTAGCCCGAGTTTTGGCGCATGTCACCAGCGATCATCCCTTGATGCCTCTTTCGAACGATGGTTACCCAGAATTACAAGCTGATGACGGGTTTGACTCCGCTGCATACGCCTGTATGAATTTACCACAAAAACAAACTGCAAGGCTTCTTTTTTTTTAAATTCATTTTCAGGAACATAGTTGCGTTGTACGATTTTCAGTGGGATCGAAATAATATCTATTTGATAATGGAATTTTGTGGTGGCGGTGATTTGGGTTCGTTTATCAAACTTTATGGTTCGTTGCCTGAAGCCATTACGCGACGTTTGTTCTGTCAGTTAGCCTCGGCGATACAGTATATGCGAGCACTGAATGTGGCTCATATGGATTTGAAACCTCAAAATATCCTTCTCACCAATCGATATAAGCCTTTTATCAAGGTAAATTACCACAAATTCTTGCAGTCTGTACTGCCGAAACCTGGACGATTCGAAAATGCTAAAAAATGCTTGCCTACTCTTAAGAATGCTTGCTGTAGCGCATCCACAGGGCATCAGCTATGGTTTAATCGGTTTTGGAAGAGAAGCCTAGAGGTATTATACTGTGGTGAATGAAATTTAAGTGAGCATGAGCCAGAAAATGTTTCTGGATTCAAATTAATAATGGGTGAGCCTGTTTTCACTGGTTTTTTTTTCTGTTTTTTTTAAAACAGAACTCTTTGATCATTGCAGATATCGGATTTCGGTCTTTCGCAGTATTTGAAAAATGACGAACATGCTTCATCATTCAGAGGCTCGCCTCTTTACATGGCACCCGAAATCTTATGCCACGGGCCGTATGATAGCCGCGTCGATTTGTGGTAAGATTTAACGCACTTAGAAGTCGAAATTTTACAGATGTCTCGGCTTTTTTGTGCATTTTGGGGAAATACGGATTGTTTATGCGGTAAAGCAGTTTTTTTTTTTTTTTTCAGTTTTCTTTCGCGTAGCAAGTTTGACGAAAATAGCGCTTGTCGCCCTTCTGCGATTCATCATTCTTTGGCAACAGTTTAGATCCAAATGTCCGTAACTTGTTTTTCAAGCAGCTATTAAAGTAATAAAACATTTTAATGCTGAAACGAGAAAAAGTTAACAAAACTTGATATGTATTGAAAAATATTTTTTGTGATGGTAAGAAATGAGCAAAAAGTTCGAACCATCGTCAGCCTTGTAGGCGGATAATTGCTGGATGTTTGCAGAGTGAGCCACTGCCAAATGCTTTGAGTTTTTGACTTTTTTCAATCTGAAGTGAAGTTTTTTTCTACTCACTTTGTTGCTTAATTCAGGTCTTGCGGTGTTATTCTGTACGAGTGTTTGTACGGAATGCCGCCGTTTACGGCTGATGCATACGAAAATTTAGTGGACCAAATATTGTCACAGCGTTCCATAAATTTTCCAATGAATGTACGGCTTTCATTTGATTGTCTCGATCTTCTACAGGGTATGCTTTTTTTTGCAGTTCGGTTTTTTTCTCGGTTAAAAACTCACTTATGGGAAGCTGGGATTGGTTTTTTAGAAGGCTTGAACTATTTTAAGTACCATTTGCAGCACTGCTTGTCCGTAATCCGCGTCACCGGATTACATTCGAAAGGTTTTTTGCGCATCCATTTGTTGGTCTTGCCAAGGCAGCTTCATTCGCCGAAATTGAAAAAGCAGACAATTATGTGGAAAAGTCTCGGCAAGCCGAAGCTGAAAGTGTTCGTTTCTTTTTTGATTTAACAGCTGCAGTTCCTTCTCCAGTGGTTTGCGATAGACCATGCCTATTTTTAATTTGTCGTTCCACTCCTTACCGAGGACTCGGATCCAAAACACGATAGGATGGTGCTAAAAATGGTTATAAAAACCTTTGTTGTCAGTGCTCCAGTTTGAAAAAATAGTACCCCGAAATGCTACAGGTTGCTTATCCTGAGCGTGGTACTGTTACTTTTAGGAGGAAAAGTTGACCAACAAACGATTTGACTGCTAAGTACTTGAAATTTCGCAATGCCACGATGATTGGGGGGAGGGGGGG